TCGGCGAAAAATTAATAGTTTAAGTTGCAAATGCTGTTGTCGTTATGTGCGGTATTTTATGGAAACAATAAAAAATGAATATATAGCAAAGAAAATCATAAAACTTCAAATTTATGAGAAATTTAAAAAAATTTTTTCTTGGATAATTTTAATGGAGCAGTTAAATCGAGGTACGGTAAATTAATAATCTTTGGTCTGTAATTTCAACATAATATTGAAAAGTTTAAAAAGAGGAAACCAGAAAAAAATGTTATTCTTAAACGACAAGGGGATAAAAAACAAGCAATAGGGGTTCATCGAAAGAAAAGCGATAAAACATGGAAAGAAAAGAAAGGGAAAAAAACTAAAATTAATCTCCAATTATTCTTTGAGTTTTTTTTATAACTAATGTTCGGTATCAATGATAAACTGTACAACAGTTTCTTCTGTTTTTGCCTTTTATTTTGGCAAGTTTGCTTAAAATTGTTCCAAGAACAAGAACAGAAAACTGCATAACTTTTAGCTGTTTCTTAACAACTTCAGCTTTTTAATCTCAAATGTTTTTTTTTTTTGATGTGGTGTAAAATTATTCTTTTTTTTCTCTTTCCGTAACCCTTCTTTAGTGGTTACCACATTTATCCCGCAATTCATCTGCCATTTTCACTTCTCTTTCGTACCCTTTCCTTTCCTTTGCAATTCCAACCAAGCTTCTGGGCTGCTGTTATTCTTCTTCTCCACTCATAGAATATTTAAATGTAAATCAAAGGAAACAATTTTTCCGATTCTGTTCACATGGTTTGTTAAATTTTGAGCAAAAAAAAAAAAAAGAGAAAAGAATTTTGACAACATAAGAACTACTAAGGTATTTGTTTGCAGCAAACATACTCAACCGTATAAATCTGTCACCGAATTGGAAGATAGTTTTTGTTAATTACCTCAGAAAAAAAAAAGAGGAAGATACCTCAACTATTTTTTTTCTTTCTCTTCATTTTTCAAATGCTTTTTCTGACAAACTCAACAATTTTTGCAAATGGCAGATCTTAACTGATAGATAGTCTAACAGATAAATCATTGTATAGCTGAGGAATTTATAAAAAAAAAAAAAAAAAAAAAAAAAAAAA